ACTGGAAAGTTTTGTATTCAACACGACTTCTTTGAATCTGCCTCTCAGAAGGCAACACCATTTAAAATAAATTTAAGGAACTTCAAATGGCACTGCTGAAATTTACATTTTCATTGGCCTGCTGCCTCCTGAGCTTCACCAGTTGGCTGAAGCTGACAGGCCAAGCATTCTGATTTGTCACAAAGGCGCCAAGCCGGCTCCAAAGGCACCCTCTGCAGAGACACTGAAGGCAGTGGGAAGACTACAGGGGCCGATGTCAAAATATTTCAACTCTGTCCAGCCAAAGGCAGGCTTGGAGGACAAGACTTCTTCCCTGCATAAGCAGGGAATGTTCCAATGTTCCTCACATCTGGGCCTCATTATACACTGGCTGGATCTTTTCAGCATACTTGCTTTATAAGCTCTACAACATTTTTCTTCCATAAAACAACAGCACTTCCAAAAAATAATAATTCCAATAAAGATTCCCAATAAGCCCATGTGAAGCTGGAGCAGGACCCTGGCTTAGGGACACAGAATTCTTATTTGTGTTTTCAACAAAGAAATGTCTGATGGATATGCACATCTTGGGGAGATCTTTAACATTCCAGGAGTAGACTTAAGTGTGCAACTGGCCATGTACATCCTACACTCACCTACCTATTGACCCTATTGGAAGACGAAAGATTATTCTTAGTGCCTAGTTAGCTTTCCCTCAAGTGCTGGAAGGGACACAGAATTCTTATTTGTGTTTTCAACAAAGAAATGTCTGATGGATATGCACATCTTGGGGAGATCTTTAACATTCCAGGAGTAGACTTAAGTGTGCAACTGGCCATGTACATCCTACACTCACCTACCTATTGACCCTATTGGAAGACGAAAGATTATTCTTAGTGCCTAGTTAGCTTTCCCTCAAGTGCTGGAATTTTCCTGGCCCCTTCTTTTTATTTTTCTGTGTTTGTAATTAATCACAGGAGCTCAGGGTCAGTCTTTCGGGAGACTTGGAGAGACACTGCAGCGATCATGTCTCACCTCTTAAAAAAAAAAAAAAAAAAAAAAAAAACCAGATGCCTATGCTGGAACTGGACAGTAACACAGGACATCTAGGTTCAAATAATAGCTTCAAATTGTGTATCTTCAAGAGCAAAATCCATTTTTAGGACACTGGAAAATCAAAGCAATTCTTTCATTGACAGAGTGGTTTGTATTAGTGCTAGATATAGTGATAATTTTATATGCCATCCTCATAAAAATTTCCAAGACCAAACTCTAGTAACGCTGCCCCCAGGTTTACTGAGCAGACTTTGTTGCTGTTGCTTTTGCGGAGACCCTCTCACACTGGAGCCAAGCTGGCACTTTTCCTTCCTCAGCCTCCGGAGTGCTGGGCTCTCAGGCGTGAGCCTTGTCAGTCAAGCTCTTAAACTGATGGCTTTAGCCCACTAAATGGAAACTCTGGGTTCTCAACCAGGTTTTTATGGAAGAGTTCTAACTAGGGGAATTTTTTATATTGCTTAGGGACTGGGATTTCATAAAGCAGAGGTTAGGGAAAGAGCTACATGCTAGGAGTCATTAGATTGACAAAACTTCGGGAATTGTAGTTAGAACTACTTCCTAAGTTGTTTAATTTTATTTGCCATTGGGGGGGAGAGAGGGAGGGAGAGAGAGAGGATCATGTGCGCACGTGTGTGTATGTGGTGTGTGTGTGGTTTGGGGTACATACTTGCCATAGTGCCTATGTGGAGGTCAGACAATAACTTTGTGGAGTCGGTCTCTCTTTCCACTCAGGTGGTCAGGCTTGCAGGACGAGCACCTTTACCTGCTGAGCCATCCTGCCAGCCCCCACCAGAGCTGCATTTAAACCAAGAAGTCTATATTCTGTCACTAAGCCTCTAAACCAGACCCAGCTCACCCAACTCATCCAACCATCCTTACAGCTCATCCTTCTGAGTTTTCTTCTCTTGCTTGATGTTGATGTCACTCGTCAGAACCTTCAAAGCGTCCTTGAACACCTCATGTTTCCTTTATCTTGGCTAGGAGAGGGGGGGTCTCTTTCCTTTCCTACATACAGAAATCATGACATTAAGTAAGGAACACAGCTGAAGTTCAAGGCAGACTTTCTTTTTAAAATGACCTCACATTATATAATCCAACAACCTTCAATTTACCAGATATAAGGATCTCTTTACCATGTTGGTAGAAGAAACAGAATTCTGTGTAAATGTAAATGCCAACATCGCCAACACTAACCTTGGCTGGGAGACTGAGACAAACCATGGGACAGGCCACTGAGCACAGCAAACAGCGTTTATGAGAAAAATTTCACTTCTGGCCAACACTGCCTCTTAGAACACAATGAGGTAATGTCTCCATGGTTACAGAGCTTCAGGCTCCAAACAAGCAGTGGCTGTGCTGGCCTCAGTACCTGGTCTGCAGTTTGTGGATGCACATAAACATAACTTTCTTTTAGGACAGCCATGTCTCCCAGAAGACAGACCTTGACATGGACATGTTACTGTCCTAGTGTGGAGTTCTGGGGTCTACGTTAGTATATAAATGTGGAATTCATCACAACTCTTTTTTCAAACTCTTGTCCCGTCTTCTTCCTCTTCCTCCTTCTCCCCCTACTACTTTTCTTCCTTTCCTCTGACAAAAACTTTTGACCACTCCTCAGAAACTGCAGGGCATTGTGAATAGAAGACATGCATTTCTAAGGCACAAAGAGAGCTAGTAGTTGAGATAAAATCGTAGCCAGATAACAACCTAAAGTCTTCAAGTTATACCAATAGCACAAGTTAGGAAACCAAACCTAGTTCAACATCTGCTTAGTGTAGGACATACACACGTAATGTTCCATGACAGGTAATGATGACACAAAAGATGATAAAGAGATATGAAATCACACCACGGTATATATTACTAAGGCATATTATTGAGAGGCTGGAGAGATGGCTCAGCAGTTAAGAACACTGGCTGAGGACATGGGCTCAGTTCCCAGCACCCACATGGTGGCTATCAACCATCTGTTACTCCAGTTCCAGGGGACCTGACGACCTCTTCTGACCTCCACAGGCATTGCATAACACAGGTACACTTACATAAATGCAGGCAATAAACTCATACACATAAAAATAATTTTAAAACATTTTAAAAGACATAATTGATGGTTACTAGATGAGTAAATCAAATATTTAACTGAGATCTACTATGTGACTACTACTACTTGGTGCTAGGAATTAATCTTTCTTCAGGAATAGTAATATACCTTCTGATCTAGATTCGAATGAACACAGCATCTATCTAGAGGGATGAACAATGTTTAAATTCAAAAGACAAAAACAAACTTCTTATAATTTTGAAAATGGCAAATATATCACATAGTAAGGTAAATAAGCCAGAGGGCAGTAAACATTTGTTTATATTTTTCTCTATTTCAAAGATAAAGCCCAGTTCCTTATAAACATTATGGGCTTATTACACAAAAATTTCATCAGGAGATTTACAAACTGCTTACGTTAAGGGAGAATTTAAAATAGATTTGTCAGCACAGCCGTTAAAGGCTAAGGCTAACAACCAAAACGTTAAAATGGATTTGTCAACTCCTGCCTGCCTTTATCGGGGTTTCCTGCCTTACCTGGTCTGCATAGTTTCTTAGCTGTTAAGCACTTCTCGACTTGTACTCATACGTAGCATGAAACCATTGTGACCTCATTTGTCTCATCAGACAATCGGTTCACGTTTCCATAGTTTAGTGAGAAAACTCTGCCAACTGAGAAAAATTTTTTGAAAGCTTTAACTTTGAATATTTCAATGCTCATTTTCCATGAAGTATATTTTCCTGTCTTTCCTAAACTGTTCCATATATGCAAGGAAACAAAATTTCCTTTTGAGTGGCTGTTGGAGAAAATTCAGTGGGTTTTTTTAAATTTAAAAATCCCAAACTTTATTAAGGCATAATTTGGATACCATAACATTCATCTATTTTAGCAGTACACCTTGATAACAGGGCTTTGAAAATAATATTTTTATTTATCCTTTGACAATTTCATACATGAAAACACTGTGTCTTTGTCACCCTCTACTCTCCCATGCCAGCTCCCTCCCATGGCCTCCAGACGATCCCCAACACATCTCATCCCAACTTTCTGTCCTATTTCCTCCCTCCCTCCCTCCCTCTCTCCTCTCTCTCTCTGTCTCTCTCTCTCTCTGTCTCTCTCTGTCTCTCTCTCTCTCTCATCCAGTTAGTGCTACCTGCATACACATGGGTGTAGGCCTGGCCACTGGAGACTGGACAACCTACCTGTGGCCACATCCCCAAAGAAAAATTATTTTCCCTCCCCCAGAAGCCATCAGCTGCCAAGAGTTCCTCAGCTAGTGGTGGGGCTTCCTGAGTTTCTCTCTCGTTCCTGTTGGAAAATTGACTGGCTTCATCTTTCGCAGGTCATATGCAGATAACTATCGTGTCTGTGACTTCATGAAGGTAGTGGCCAGGTCATGTCCAGAAGGCAGTGCTTCATAGCACTCTTCTCTGTCCTCAGGCTCTTTCATTCTTCCTGCCCCTCTCTGTGATGTTCCCTGAATCTTAGTGGGGGTTGGTATAGATGTCTCATTGACGGCTGGGTTCTCAACAGTCGCTTATTCTCAGCACTGTGACCAGTTCTGAGTCTCTACATTAACCACTGCCCAGTGCAAAAAAGTTTGTCCAAGGTTAAGAGCAGCACTAACTTATGGGTATATACATAAATATTTACAAGGCAGTTTGATAGTATGTCCACTTAGCAAAATAACAGTAGTAGGTTTCCCTCCTAGGGCTTACAACCTCCCATAGGATGAACTTTTGACTAGGTTTACAGGACCAGGCATACGTTCTCTCCTGTGGAGCAGGCTTAAGCAGGAAGTGGTTGGTTATTCCTGTAACAGTCACACCATATTGCACCAGTGGGTGTCTCTTCCCTGGCAGATAAGATTTAATTCTATTTTTTTAAAGATTTATTTTATTTTTATTTATGTGTGTATGCATGTGCAAATGTGTATGTGGACATGCATGGATGGGGTACTCTTGGGGACAGAAGAGGGTGCTGGATCCTGGAACTGAAGCAACAGGTGGTTGTGAGACACCTAACGTGGGTACTGGAAACTGAACTCAGGGCCTCTGGAAGAGACGCAAGTGTCCTTAACTGCTAAGCCATCTCTCCAGTCCAGTTAAAATTTAATTCTTTTTTTTTTAATTTTTAGAAAAACTTTATTGAGAATTTCAAACATGCATATAAGGTGTTTTGACCAAATCCATGCCCATTCCCTCCTCTACAACATTCCCCCCATGAAGAGGTAACCCCCAAATCTTTTAAGGATTAGATACAAGCTCCCAAATACTTTCAACATTTTTGGCCTTTGGAACAGAGTATGTTGTTAAGAGGCTGAAGGAATTCCTACCTCCTATTCTTATCATGCCATCCTCTGAAGGGGTTACCCAAATTGCCAATAGGGAAGAGGGATGCCAACTGCTCTGGCTTCTTCCATGCTGAGCAGGGATGCAGGGTGAGGCAACTGGAGTACCTTCAGTGGGTCTATCTAAAAGACTCCAAAATTGCATAACTTTTGTCTCTAAGAAAGTCCTTGAATCATGAATGGGAGATGTGAAGGAGAAGTAAAGGCAAGAGTAATTAGCATTACAAGTTCAAGACAGAACTAGAAAAGAGTCAGAACAGGGCAATTTTGAACCAAGGACAAGGTAGAACACAGAGAGTTTATAAGTAGGAGCTGGTACTGGTAACAGGAGTTAAGATTTGGGTGGGGGACCACTGGCATTTACTGGACAAGAGCCGGGAACACCAAACTACACCCTAACATAATCTTACTTGGCAAAGAATTTTTCCATATACTACCTGGCTTGCTGGATATTCAGACAGGTGGAAAAAGCGAGTAACTGCGTGTCTAAATCTACATCCACATTACATATGAATTCAAAAATATTTCATATACTTTTAATGTATACCAAACTCCCCAGGATATTTGTTATTGAGGAAAGATTACAAATGTATTTGCTCAGGTCTTTTCCAAGAGTTGCTTATCATTTTGGAAAAGGGGAGGATACAGCAGGATGTGGAGACTTCAACACCAAGAACCTCGTCATCACCACTGTCTCTGGCTTGGGAAAGACAGGGACAAGCAAGAGCTGGAAGAGACGTGGTCTTATGCTTGCTTGGACAATTTCCAAGCTTGGGTCCGGTCACCACAGCTGTGCAGGATGGGCGCACCCCTTCTCCAAGTGAGAATGTGGAAAGTGACTGGGATGAACCTTGTCCAAGGCCACTAGGCCATGGAGGAGCCAGGAGTTGGTCTCCGCTGTTTGCTGTGCAGACCCCTTCACTGAGCTTCTGTTTGGCCTCCCGTTGAACGTGCACCTAGATCCCTTTCAGGTGATGGCTGGAAGCCTCACGCTGAACCTGCACCACCTGACTGTTCTCGAACCATTCTTCCTCCTGGCTTCCCTGTTTTCTGTCTGTTGTCACTAGCCTTGGCCTCTGTGGGGAAAATTCCAGAACTTTATAGGGAATTGAAAGCCTGCAAGGGTAGATGCAGGGGGCTGGAGAGATGGTTCAGTGGTTAAGCGCACTGGCTGCTCTTGCGGAGGATCTAGGTTTGCTTTCCAGCACTGACATGGTGACTACCAACCATCTGTAACTCCAGTTCCAGGGGATCTGATGCCCTCTTCTGACTTCTGTGGCACTGCACACACAGGTGCACTTACATTCAGGTAGGCAATACACTCATACACATCAAATAAAAATTCAGGTAAATTAAAGAGTGGATATAAGTTAAAAGAAGATGAAAACTGAGTTTCACTTGTAATCCCTCGCCTTTGGGAGGCAGAGGCTGGAGAATCACCATGAGTCGAGAGTCAATTTGGTTTACACAGAGTATCAGGCCAGGACTACAAAGGAAACCATGCCTCAAAAACAAATGAAGCAAAACAAACAACAGGGTGGTCTAAGGGACTCCCAGTTAGTAAGCCAGCACAGAACGGGGAAAATGAACAGCAGATCCCAAACTTATCTAAA